TCGACTTGAAATGCCCTCCCAAACGAAGTGGTCACAGCATCCTTAGTGGGTAACTTCAACGGGAAGCTCGATAACGCATACTCACCCACGGATTATCACCTTTTGCTTGGGCCAGCTGTGTCTGATGCATGTTCCATAATTTACTTGTCATCATTACCACATACAAGTAAACAGTCCCTATCACTCATATTATCATCTCTGTCTCCCTTCTTGTTCCTACATTTCCGTCTTTCAAACCTGTCTCGATTAAAAATTAATCAATCTACTTATTTATTTTTTCATCGTCTCGTGGCACTCGAATTTTCACAACTAACTAATCTCCTGCTCGCCTACGAATGCCCTGGTACGGCCGAGAGTAAGGAGAGCCTGCTCCCCCTCTCGAAATGCTCTCACATGGCCACGTGTATATAGCCTCTGCCAGAGAAGTCCTACTCACTGCCTTCTCGTGGTGGCGGTGCTGTTTAAAAAATTGAGAGGACTAAAAGCGAATGTCCGGCGCTTTGACCGGGTTAGTGGGCATGGAGAGTCCACCTAGTGGGGTTGGAAAACCCTGATTCAAAACCAATGGTGGACATGGGTTCCAGTATCCTGAAGCAACAAATGGCGTATGAACCGATCGTTGGTCACCGCCTACCATGGGACTGCATCTCCATACGTTGCTCCACTGCCTTGTGGATTAGAAACTTTAGGTCAAAAGCCCGGGCTGTGGCCTCTAAGAAAACCACCTGCTTCTGTTTGGGCACCCGGGCAGTATTCCAGCCCCAGACAAATCGAGGAATTTATGTGGCGCATACGTATTTGGTGCCTCCTTGTACCAATATCTGTGTTCAGATAAAAATAATAATGCTGGCATTCATAAACCATGCTGCCATGAGACAAGTGTATTCACTTAAACTACAAGATATACAAGTCCACAAACAAATATCAAGATGACTAGAACTAGTGTATTTGAGTGGCTAGAGTGCCACCTATTAGATTTTGCCAGATACCTGGAACGGTACCGAAACAATGGTAAGCGAATGCAAAGAAATTAATTGGTTTTTACAGCCTTACGACAAAGTTATTAGACCGTGCATTTAATCGGTTGGCATTAGTATAAAAATGTTGCATTATAATTCAGAGGAGTGGAAAAAGGACTACGACTCAAGGTAGAGACCTTGCAATAAATTGTTAAAACCAAATAATCACAAAAGTCCTTATGCCTATTAACTCTCGTAAGGGAACATAGGCCACCCACCAGCATTCTCCGTACAACTCTGTCCTGGAAAATACCTCTTAGTTGTTTCACCTGGTTATCCATTAATTTGATGTCTGTTTTTAATTATCGTCGCAGTGTTTTCTTTGGCCCTCGACGTTTCCGTTTCCCTTCAGGATTTCAAGCGAATGCGTGCTACGTTTGATGATTTCCTCAGTATATGTCCCATTCACTTCCAGTGTCTTTTCCTAATTTCCTCCTCGACTGGAAGTTGATCTGTTCTCTCCACAGTACGAAGAAGTCGGAAGGTCGTTATCGGAGACCAGAAGTAGCCATATCATCCGGTTCAAACTAAGGGGCTTCCTTATGAAATTTAATGACCATTAGGCTTTGTTTGAGTCCTGTTTTGGTATTTCCGTTCTCTTGACTAACATTTGACTATGAAAGCATGTCATTTATATTGAGAGGCTGTGGTATGATCAGTCTTAAATTATCGCACTTGGATACCCCCTGACTTTTGACGTATGAATTTTTCAGCCACTAAATTAGGTAAGTTCGAGCAAAATCCGTTAAAACACGGTGCTACTCCTATAATACATTCAGCGCAAGTACGCCTAAAGCTATAACTGTGGTGAGCTAGTGAACAACTTGACTTCACTCTGTGAATCTAAAAATTTACAAGACTTAAGGAGAGACTGTAGAACACAGAGCGTTTGAGGTCTGGATACTAGAAACTGCAGAATAAATGCTAAACAATGCCCTCTGAGCCCGAGTCATTAAATGACAGTCATTTATTGTAACGGGAAAAAGATAACGGCCTTTGACCGAGAAAACTGTTGTTTTGAATATTAGTAGTTCCACTGTTTTGGATGCATGTGTTTCTACTCAACTTTCGAACTTGTTTGCCCATAATTTTAACCTCAGTCACTTTGGTTTCATTCTGTTTTCGGTTTGGTATTTTTGACGTTTTTGCTCCGGAAACCTGAAAATTAAAAGCTTGTTTTTAATTGTTATAATCATTTTTAGAATGATCTATTTGTGTTTATTGCTTGTGATTTACGGGTTGTCTTTGGTGTCTCGAATCGGGATTTTATTTTATTGTTATTTGGGGTCATAAGTTACGAGTGAACCAATCGACAATTGATCAAATAACAAACGAGATCATTATTTAGATGTATCCTTTCTGGTAATTTTTCGGAGTTAGAGAAAAACGTCTCATGCCGGTGTGTACCCTTGTTCTATCGACAGAAGAAACCAGACCAGTAGTGAACAGATCTTTAATTAAGTCTTGAACCTGAACAAAAGGAGCCGAGGTCACTCTCATCAAACACACAAAGCTTTTCAGCATCCAAAATAATAAGACGTGCATTTTCTTTGCAAACTAAGGAAGTGATTGAATACTTGATCAATAATGTTTTGACATTACTAGGATATTTGAGAAGAAATCTTAGCTAATCAGTATGAGTTGTTATAAACTCTTTTTGTTGAATGTCCATGAGGAGGGAAAAGATTTTTAAGTGCCAATAATTTATGATAGGATTTTGTCAAACTTTCCCTAACCTCTGAAGATGAAAGTTCAGTCAATATGTAAGATTCGGGTCTGGACCAGTATCAATAAACTTATCTGTATACACTACTGTGATACTAGGTCTAATCCAGATAAGGCTTATCTTTTATGAATTTGAAGTTAGAAAAGAGTTATTGCACAATTACTTCAACATCACGATCCTCATAAGGCCGTTTTTACGAATGATTCATAGCAGACTCAGTTCAGAATGAGTGCTACACCCATTGGAATATAATTTAATATCACTGAACTAGTTGAAGCCTTAAAAATATAGTGCAATTCTATCACCAATATAGTTTTTAGTATTGTGAAAGTTAATTACGATCACATTTTGCTCATCACCTTTCTTTTCAATATGAATTTGTAGTGTGACGTCGAGTCGCGGTTGACTATGATCACCATTACAAGAAGGTTGCGTACCAGATACCAGGCGATTAGAGGTTGTAGCGAGATGTATCTGTTGGCGATCTCGTGGTAACGAAAGAATACCGAGATCGTGCCAAAAGAGTACAAGCGGAATCACTGAGCAAACGTAAGTGCGTGCAAGGTCACAGTCAACAGAAAGAAGAATGTCCAGTTAAACAAACAAGTACAGTGAAACAATCACTGGTTGTAATCATAATTGTTTCCATTAAAGCAGTCGCGTTCTCTTAATGAAAGTAGGTTACTACAAATTTATCCGTTTCCCAAATTCATTTGCAAAGTGCAAAGAACTGGATATCAGGTCAGGGTGGTTCAGGCTAGGGAAGTGTTATATTATCTGACTTCAAAGTAAGATGGAGTAGGTTAAGTAGTCAAACCATTCAGTTTCAACAATAAATCAAACAAATTGAGTAAAACCAATGTTTCGACTACATTTAGATATTTGCACCTTGAAACATATGGCTTCCTTAAAATGTGGTTTCAGTGTTAACCTCAGATTTACTGACTCTACTGAATAAGGGTTCTCTATCAACCTTTACGACTGTATCCTATCCCAGTTTATGTATCTCTTCCTTTGAATTTTGACATTCCTATGTCTATGGTAAAAAAGGTTAATGACATCAACCAAAAATTGTATTCTTTACCTTGCTTATCCTCGAGATATCATTATGTAAATACATATAAAACGACTTATGCGATAATGTTTTATCCTGTGTATCTTCAGTAGTAGAGTGTCAACGAACCGCTATTTCGAATGCGGTGGAGGAGCTATTAAGGTTTCAACGAGTAGGGGTTGAAATAGTAAACAATTTTTCTGACCTATAGTATAAAGATAAGCTGAAACAACTTGACGCGATTCCTCTCTTCTTGTAGACTGAAGTACGATCCGCAGTGGACCTCGGTAAAATAAGTTATTCAAGATGTAACAATGAGCAAGTTTACTAAAAATATAGCAAAAGAAACAACTGTCTGTGAATAAGGCAAGACGGCAACAAATAACATCATCCACAAAAAGGTAAATTAAGCGACAAAGATGATAACAATTTTTATGAAATGAATGTCACTTGTAAGCTCCTAATGGGAAAACAGTCACAAACAGAGTTCACTTGATCAAAAAAAGGCTACTCTGCACTGTTGGCACCAACAATGTGAAGCGAAATGCTAACCCATCAGTGTTATTGAATAATAACCTGGGTCAATATTCCCACGTAGTATTAAATGGATCGAAACGTTGCTATATTATTGTTGCAATCTTCACTCACAGGCCGTGGCCAGTAAAGTAAAAGAATAGATGACTGAGATTGAGTTTATTTGAATAACACCAGCAGAGTGGGTATTAAGGAACCAATCAATTAAGTCTTTTATTGATACAGACAGACATTAGATACTGGATATAGAAGTGGTCACATATAAATTGTCACGAATAAAGAAAAAAATGTGGTCTCTATTTGGTCGTTACGAAAATCGCTGAATAAATGTCATAATAGATCTGGTATATGCATAACACATCCTTAACATATATCCCGTATAACCCTTCCATCAAGGAGTGACCATCTGAGAGGACATTCTCAGAAATGTTACCAGCCGAAATCAAATGTTACGACCAAAGTTTTAATCATCGAATTGAGTCTTGCTTTAAATGGTCTCTGCGTCAGTATTCTCTTCGTCGCGTTGGAAAAAACGGCCGGATCTCTATGATACCACGAATAGCGAGGATTGAGGTAGGTCATATGCAATTCTGTCCTTAGCACTAGTACCGAGACATGCTGAAGAGGCTTAGTTACCTTACTTCGAATTTGAATTCAAGGTCGCCCAATGCGTGTCCTCGAGAGTGTTTTTGAGTTCGGGAAGACCTTGAAAAAATGCTCTGAAACAGAAAAAATCTTGGTAGTTGACTTTTATGCTGACTGGTGTGGACCTTGTTGTCGTATTGCCCCGCAATTTGAGGCTCTCTCATCTGAGTTTCGACAGGGAAATTTTGTCTTTGTGAAAGTGAATACAGACCGTTGCTCAGAACTTTCCCGACAAGAAGGGATTTCAGCTCTACCAACCTTCAAACTGTATCATGACGGAAAATGTATTGAAACAATTGTTGGTTAGGTCAAATTATTTGATAACCTGAGTTAAGGTAGCAATGTTGGTCGGTTACGACAAGTTTTGAATGAATTCTCTCTGGATAACTCAATAATACAGCTCAAACTCAATAAAAATCACTTGGAAAGATTGCGTGCATTTGGGTGTTTACACAAGATTTGCGACAGAATTCTAAGTTATCCTCAAGAAGATAAGTTTCGCCGCATTGGTTTGGCTAGCTCTGATTTTATAGAAACACTTCTAGTTGTTCCCGGATGTATGGACTTCCTATTTTCTGCAGGTTTTCAGGTGTGTTTAATTCGTTTGTTTCATTTGTTCCGAAAGTATTTTTTTGGACTTAGAAGTAAATAGCTGCCTATTTGACATTTGTTCTTTCCAAACTCCAGTCTCCTTCAAAATATTTTTGAATGCTGAGTGCTTACAAACTGTCAGCAGTGTGTATAACGTGTGCTGTTAATACCAGGATTTTACTAGGAGAGTCGTGATTTTGCACTGGGTGATGTACATTGGATAGAGTACCAATGAATTGTGGCTTCCTGTAAATAGATTTATAGTGTTTATGTTACAAAATGTACTACAATCAGTCATTTTAGTGATTATTAATTCATACCCCTATTAATCAGCTCCTAAGAGTAAATCGTAAACCAGTTATTCATTACTCATAAATAAACTTTGTTACTTAAAATCAAGCAGATTTTAGTCCAAGTTCTTGTTATTCCAATTAACATGAGGAAAAACTGTGATAAGAATTGGTATCTTTTATAAATGTCATGCTCACAACAAACTGGTAAAATTTAAATAAACCATGACTTTCAGTCATTATAAATTATCGTTGTATGGTGATCACGTTGAACTAAACTCTCCTTTACTGTATCACGGCCGTTGATTACCATTTATCCAAAACATGGAAAAGTATAGATCTACTGGGCAGCCGACAAACTAGTGAGTGTAAAAATTTATAAAGTAATCAGAACTAAGAGAACCTCAAATACCCTGATATCTATTTGGGGCCTCCTTGTACCAATGTTCATGTGTCTAAATAAATAAATAAATTAGAAAACCTGAGTATTATACACCAAACTTGTTGAAATTGTTTACTATTAAACTGTAGTGTCTAGTACTATATCAAGTTGAAATGGGTTGTTCTAGCTTCCTGATAAACCAATTTATTCTTCTTGGACCACATTTGAACCTTTTCAGTTATTCGCTCATAACTGACTGTCTGAGTGTATGCGTGTTCATGTTTCATCTCATTCATCACATGTCTTCAGCTTATTTTTGTCTGGCTCTGAATGGTGTCACGCTTCATCAAAGAGAATTGGTATATTTGGCTTCTCCGGTCTAATTCCTCGGCTAGTTTCCCTTATTGTTTGTCTGGGGTATCGAGTATATAAAAAATTCAAAATTTCCTCTCGTATTTGAGTTATTCCACTATTTAATACAAATTAAGTCGACAATTATGTAAAAGGGTAGGTGGCCTGTATATTTCATTAACATCACCATACAATCAGGTAAAAGTCAGATCAACGGGGGACTAAAAAATCATACAGGCTCATTTTATTCGGGTGGTGAAACTCTGGTTCGTGGCATTTCGTTGTGGTTATCTTATTTAGGAATACGTCCGTCTAAGTAATTTTTCTTGGTAAGATAGCGTGAGCCATAAAGCTATGTTTAATCTTATGACGTCTACATTTTATGTGGTCCAATGTTCTGTATTGTTTAGCGACTATGAAATAAACTAACTATTTTTATCCAGATAATCGCTTATTATAACTCTAGTTCCTGCAACCTAATTTTGTTATCATAAGCTAGGATTCTGTCTAGTTGTAAGGTTCAACTTATATACTGTAAGTTTTAAATACTAACCTCGAATCTCAAGACAATAAAACTAAGAAGAGTTAGATGTCTTTGGAGTGAGAGGAAGGTTATGAGTATTGTGAGGGAAATAAGACGTTCAGGATGTAAAGATAAAAAAGGAATTCATGTTGTTCATTCTGACCAATTTCCAATTGTGTTACTTATAGTCTCTAATTAACAGTTTATGCAATTCATTTTACCACCTTTAAAGTGAAAGTTTGCACCTTTCTGTATAGTATACAGTAATACTTAGTATTTATTGAGACGATGACGTGTCTTGTCTTAGTAACACTTAGGTTTTTCGTATCTAACTAGTAAATCGTGTACAATGAATGCGGATGTGGTTGTATGAGTTATGGGTTTCTGCGTATCCTTTAACTGCTATGAAGAATTTTACACCTTACAAGTAAACTGTCTTTAGTATCATGTACAGTTGTTTCTACCTTTTTTTTTCATGCAATGTTGATTAGATCTAATTCCAACGTGACAATTTATATTGTCACGTTTAGTATCTCGTAGATATTTAAGTATTCTTTAGTGTCAATGGTAACCGAACTAAGTCATTTACACTTTAGGGATCTTAAGCCTATATATATATATATATATATATATATATATATATATAACGTTGATGCAGTTTGTTTATCTTTACCACATTTTTTCTCTTTTAAGGAGGCTGATGATGCTTTTGTCTTACCAGCTACTTTTGATGTCGGTCATTTGAAGAAGTTATTTATTCAGTTAAGATCTTGTTTGGTATGTTTTGATTATTTATTAAGATAAAACAGCATATATTAGTTTAGTTGGTTTATACAACTATTTGTTCACCAGTTATGTGTCATATTATGGTTATTTTGAGTTTTAACACTGCATTTTCTCACCGTACTGAATGTGTGGCTATTTTTAATACTGCGGTATAACTGTACGTGTACTGCAACTAGCTCATATCCATTTCATTTCCTCAGGATTGTATTGGTTTTGATTCACGCATTTTCTACCGTAGTTGTTCGCTTACTAGGGGCTTCAAGTGATCAGCTATTTACTTGATGTGTAGACACTAGTAACTTTCTCTTTTGTATTTCCAAGTATGCATAATAATAAAGACGGTTATTAGGATAGTGCAGTCATACGAAGTTTTTATTTATTTATCTATTTATTTAAACACATAAACATTGATACAAGAAGGCACCAAATATATGTGTCACACAAACTATTTGGTTTGGATGAGGGCTGCGATACTGCCCAGGTGCCCAGACCGAGGCAGAAAGTTTTCTTAGGAGGCTGCTCCCCATGGATCAGGATACATTTGAAGTTTATTCTTTTAATCGAAGTGGAATACCTGGGAGCAATGGACGGCCGTTTCGTCCTGGTAAGGGGCTCCTCAGCAGCGAGCATCCACAACCCCACATGTGGGACTCGGACCAAGGATCTTCGGCCTCGTGCGCGAACGCTCAACCTTTAAACCACTAAGCCAGCATCCAACGGTGTTAATGTCAAACTTCTATCAATCCATGATCTTGCGCTACCGTTCATCCACTGTCTGAGGTAGATACCTATCTCTACCCGACACGGACTGAACTCCATTGGTCACGGTTTCTCACTAGAACTCCAGAAAATCCATCTTGAAGCCAGTCACTAATGAGCACGTGATAGTTATTATCAGAGTGGGGGTTTGTGGAGATTGTAGTAATTATTTGTTAGTTGTATTCATGATTCGATCGATTAAAGTTAGAGATTAACACCGTTGGGTGCCGACTCAGTGGTCTAGAGGTTGAGCGTTCTCGCACGAGGCCAAAGGTCCATTTGAATATGTGACAGTATCTAGAGAAAAAGAGTATATTCCCTTTACTACTGGTTGTACTAGAAAGTTTAAGGTGATTTCGTGTATTAATTGATGTCTATCGGTACCAGTATTTGATAAAATTTTGTTGAAAAATAATAAAACATCAGGTTTTGTAAACAAAAACCTCTGTTGTTTTGTTTAATTAATTAAACAGTCAGTAGTTGAGGCAGGTAATAGACTAAGAACGTCCTTCATTAGTTATAATGACACGGACTTTGAAGATCACGATTTTAATGTTTTCTACTTAGCTTTATTTCAAATTTATCTAAATGTTTGTTTTGTGTTAGCGTTTTCTTGAAATAAAATGAATTAGTAGAATGCACCATAAATGCGCCCTCAAATGCCCTGGTATGCCCGAGAGCGGGGTGGGCCCGCCCTCGCTCTCGAAATGCTCTCACACGGCCACGCATATACAGCCTCTGCCAGGGAAGTCCTACTCACTGCCTTCTTGTGGCGAGGGTGTTGTTTACGAAAATGGGAGGACGAAAAGCGAATGTCCGGCGCTTTAACCGGATTCCAAACCAATGGTGCACATGGGCTCCAGTATCCTGTGGGAACAAATGGCGTATGAACCAATCGTTGGTCACCGGCTACCATGGGACTGCATCTCCTCACGACGCTCCACTGCCTTGTGGGTCACACCTTTAGGTCAAAGGCTCGGGGAGTGGCCTCCTACGAAAACCACTTGCTTCGGTTTAGGCACCCGGGCAGTATCACAGCCCTCACACAAATCGAATGATTTATGTGGCGTATATATACATGGTGCCTCTTTGTACCAATGTTTATGTGTTTAAATAAATAAATAAATGTCTATTAGTGAATGGTATAAAATACAGGGTACTACCTATAGCATTCGTTACTGGAATGGTTTGTAAAAACCCAGAAAGATCTAAGCATGTGGTGCTCACTTGATAAAAATAAGAATTTGCTTTTGTCGTGTAGTTCGGTCGTTTAGTGTTTAAAGCGCTCAGTCGTCAAGCAGTCGGTTACAGTTTTGAATCTTACCCTACCTACCTAGTATCATTACTGCTCATACAAACAGGATGGGTGTAAGAAAGCCAAGTATATGGACATATATTAGGTCACTAAGTTATATGACAAATAGGAATGATGTATTATTAATGTTAACTAGCAGTGTGTTTTATCAGTTTACTTGACTGGTTAATTTCTGTTAAAATATTGGTTTTGATTGACAAAGTAGTTGTAACATCTTAAATCATTATTTTCAACAAATCATCATTATGTTTCGTTATAATCGCATCATCTACCCACTTACCACAGATTCGCAATTTTCAATTTACTTTTAGCCGGTTAGTTCTGTGACAGTAAATCAAGACAGTCTGGATCTGAGAAGCCCTGAAATAAGTTTTGTTAACCGATTGCTTCAGTATCGTTCTTTTGTTGTAAACTACATGGATTTAGAGTTACAGGTAAGCGGTACATAAACTATTTGTACATAACCTTTTTTGGTTAATTTAATAGGTTCACATTTTGAATTCATTTAATCTGTCGTTTCTTTCTTTTGCTTGTTTGTTCAGGTCACTGGCATTAAACTGTAATTTTAAAATGGTTAGACCTATTTTTAAGAAGTTTACTCTTTGATGGTATCATATCAAGGAATTGATACAAGAATCATCAGCTGATCAGTTAGTCATAAACAACTTAAAACTTGTCATTTTTGTAAATCAACCCATGTCACTGTTACACCAACATTTACTTTACTTACTTACGCCTGTTACTCCTAATGGAGCATAGGCCGCCGACCAGCATTCTCCAACCCACTCTGTCCTGGGCCTTCTTTTCTAATTCCATCCAATTCTTGTTCATTTTTCTCATGTCTATCTCCATTTCCTGGCTTAATGTGTTCTTTAGTCTTCCTCTTTTCTTTTGGCCGTGAGGATTCCATCTGGGGGCTTTTCTTGTGACGCAGTTGGGTGCTTTCCTCAATGTGTGTCCTATTGTAGACTCACTGGCTCTATAAGTTAAGCATAGAGAATATGATTCAAAAAGAATGAACGGATTGGAATAACAAATTGTATCAGAACTTAAGATCTAAAGAATACAAATGAATCACCTTATATACGTCGTTGCAACCAACTTTGAGCCATGACGCGCAGCATCTCCAACCACTGATAGCGGTTATCACGCGAACTCCAACCAGGTAGTCTGGATCTACCACGTGGCTCAAACAGTTTATGATTTTATGAACTGATGCCGCGTCCTGGTTTAGCCTGTCCCAATTATATAACTTAATCCTATAACGATGAGTATCGCTCACCTGGTCTGATGGTAGTGGATAGTGAGATAAAGATTCAACAGATTCACCATCTTTACATAGTTTCTCTACTTTCAATCTCAGTTCAGTCTTATATCAAATGTTTTGGATAAGAAGCAATTGGATTACAGAATAGGTAATTTCATTTAAATGCCTAACTAATGTTACAACCCTCAACTGGAATAATCAGTATCAACGATCAGTCAGTAGAAGCACCTTTGTATTTGCTTAACTAACGTTTTCTTCTAGCGGGAATGTCATGGAGTTCACAATATACAACCACAAAGACCAATACATTTCTTCTATTTTTTTCCTATTTATTCACTAGACTCGGGCACGTGAATTGATTCCCACTGAACAGCTTCTTTTATCCGCCTCTCAAAATAATAGTTGTTCTATAGATGATGTGGAGCCCAGAGATTTTCTTCGAGAGTTATTAATTTGGTTTAAGAGTGAATTCTTTAAATGGGCTGACGACTTTGTATGCAAAACATGTGGTGTAAGTTTTCTGTTTGTAATTTTGTTAACAACATTTCATCTTATATTCATAAATTGTCAATTGTTTTCGATTTAAATGAATAAAAACAGTCAATGGTAAACAATAAATCTGACTAGTCAGCCTTACCTTATAGTGATTCCAAGGGAAGTCACTGTTTGTTTCAAGACTGAAAATCATCGTTAAATGTTACACTTAGAAGCTAGAGTATCCTGTACTTAATTAGTTCTCTGCAAAAGGACCGATTATTTATGCTAGTTAGTTACTGATTATTCACTGACTTCCTGATCTAGTTTTTCCTGCTAAGTACCAGTTTAGTAAAACATAGTAATAATCTGTTTTGGGATCTTATCGATGTAGTTTTCCTTAACTTTCTTGTTTTTCCATGTACACTGACATAGCTTTCATTTGAATTTCATAGTTGTAAAATTTTAAAGAAGCGATTGATCATCCCGATAAGAATTAAATTTCCGATGACAAAGTTTACCTGAAAGTTGGAAATGAAAATAATGAATATACAGCCGAATTAACTAGGTATAACAGTTGATATAGTGAAGAGGTATTAAATCTAATGATCAGATTTTAATTCTTTCGAGGGCGGGTAATTTACTATATGATAGTGGCTAGAATTTGTCGGCAAGAAACCGTGCACATAGGTTTCGTGCTATATGGTACTCGTTGGCAATCTGTGCTTGTAATCTTGAGGGAACTGATGCTTCCCGGTCGACTTGATCTCGTGTCATCCAGCTCCCCACCCAGAGACGTTGCCAATGTGTTATCCGGGTCGCAACTGACCTATGAAACTGTGATGTATTGGTTAATTATTGGGTAATGGTCAGTGTTATGTATGTCAAGTTCTTTTTAATGCAGATGGAATTCTATCGATCGATTTGCGATCAGCACTAAGCCTAGGTCTAAGATTTCTTGTTGAATACCTTCAATTACCATATTACATCTCAAAATAGTGCACGCAATGTCGAGTCACCTAGACTAGTGGCCACTTTGCAGCTTTATCAATAGAATTCGATCAAGACTAAAAGGGACCTAATATACATGACATTGATCACTACCGAGTGACCAACATGTATACATGTTTTTATGTCGAATAAAATAACCTATTCTTATGGCCATTAGTTTCATCTTTGATCTCAAGTCATTCAAGAACTAAAGTCAGTAGTTCAATCTCTTAAGCAGCCGCATCTTGGCCAAATTGTATCGTTGCATGTTATCAATCCATCAGAATTCTCTTTTTTCATTTTCACAATTTAAAATCCGTTCATTGAATCATAAAATCTTGACCGATTTCAATGTAGAATTACTCATTTCGTCCTGTAATTTTATTAACAACTTTCTCCTAGTGAACTTTCGTTCATCTTTGAGGGTATATCTTATGCATTCTTTATGAGCATGGAGTTAACCTTAAAATTGATGCATTAACTTACATTCTAAGCTGTTTTACACGAATCTATTCGCCATAGGATAACTATTATTTCACCTTGTCCCAAATTTCTCTGGATTGTTTATATTCTAAGCTGAAGGTTTCTTCTCTAGTAGTTATATTTCATTCAGGATATATATAGAGTTGTGTTTTGTTTGCTGTTTCATCCTTTTATTGAACTCTTCAGTAGTGTACATCCACAACCATAAACAAGTGTAGAACCGAAGTCTCACAACAAACGTTTAACCATTAGGATCATTGTGTTGGCGTCCAGTGTTCCACATTTTTAATATCAGTGAGCTTTATTAAAAACTTATTGGTCTAACGAATTAAGACTCAACAGTCAGGGTTAATTAGTGCTCGTCATACCAGTTTAATAAAACATTTGCTAATTGTAAACAACATAGTGTTTGTAAATCGAAGCTTGTTTATTTATCCCTATTAAAGTTATGTATAATAAGCAGTAGATGTATTTTGTGTCTGTATTATAGACATTACCTTGATGATGAAAATAAATGTTTGAAATGTTTTTTTCGAGAAAAAAATATTAGTTAGCGTTTACGTTATTTCTCTGTTCGGATTCAGAACTAAATTAGGAATCAGTCCTCATTAGGATATATGCATCCTGTACAGGTTGTAACATTATAATCATTTTGTAACAAGTCTTAGAATGTATGCGAATTGTGGGCAGTGGTGGAGTCCAACACTTAAATTTAGTCATATTGTAGTGGACGAGAATACCAGTGAGTACAACCAAATGTATTTTAGCACAACATTACAGAATCTCTTGGTAAAATCTGAGTACCATGGAGTAAATACTTCATTTGTGAGATGTTCATTGTCTCAGACTTTGTTGTTTCTTCTCCACACCAATCATTCTCTGTTCTCGTTCTCTCCTATTCGATCTTCTTAACCTTCTGTCTCTACACATTTCATTTTCGACTGATGATACATACCACTTATAACTATCAGTATCAGTAGCATGCACCGCAACATATGTGGCTCATTAAGTGCATGCATTTGCATCCCAACCAATGATAATGTTCACACTAAGAGTCAGTCAGTTACAACATATAACCTATACGTATGTACATCGGTTCAAGTTACCACACCAAATAGTTTAGAGTAGTAAACGTTTGGGTAAAATGAAACGTGCTTTTCAGTTTAACACATTTAAAATATACTTATATACAGATTATTGAGTAATGATTTGGGTTATGTGAAATGTTGTCAGGTCAAATCCCAGAATAGTAGAAGTAGTAACAGTATCCGTGGTAATAGGAAAGATTAGGCATCAAAGATAGGACTCGTCAAGAAAATATAAATTAATGAAATAAAAACAAAAGTAAGTTATGAGGAATTTAGGATATTCAAGCAGACCTCCTTGAGTTGCTCCTCACCAACTCCATCATTCTTCCATTCTTGTTGAGATTTCGGTTGCTTTCTGTTTTCCCTTTACTTCATTTCCCTCTTCTGTCCGTAAAACTCCTAATTACAATTCCTGATAAACACTTTATACCTGTCCATACAAGTAGCACACACCGCACTTGTACCTTTAATTGTTTTACACTTTGTAAAATTTTCATTAATTTAATTTCAGGGTAAAATGGTCGCATTCTCAAACGATCAGCCTCAACTGGATGAAATGAATGATGGTGGTGCAAACGTAGTAGAGATTTATCAGTGTAAAACAAATAAAACACATCCATTATATCGTTTTCCTCGATATAACAATCCTAGAAAACTACTTGAAACTCGTTTAGGACGATGTGGTGAATGGGCAAATTGTTTTACATTGTTCCTTGTTTCTGCTGAACGTCACACTAATCAACTTGGTTTGATGCATGCCGACTTATTATGGATTGGACAGATCATGTTTGGTGTGAAGTGTACGTTTCGATCATTACTATCATTTAATTGGTAATTATAGCAAATTCTTAAAGGTTTAAAACAGTTTAGAATATAGATTCGTACGTCTAAGTTTTTCTGAGAAAAATTATAGGGATTTCCGACGTCATCTATTTCTGTACTTTTTCAGTCATGTTACAGCGTATGAAATATTTTTACTTTATCCTTATTTAAAAGATAATATTCATTGATAATAATTATATGCGCACTAGCGACTAATTTCGTGTGGTTATTTCTGGAGTTCTAGTAAGAAGCCGTAGCTAGTGGAACTTGAGCACGTCAGGTGTGAAACAGTCACCCACCGATGATAATATTGGAAGATAATTGGGAGATGTCGCGATCTGATTGAAATTCATCATGCAAACCATTGGATTCTCGCTCATTTGTGTAAATGTTAAACGCTTACCGCTAGGTTTTGGAAGTCCTGCGTTCAATCCTTAGTGGGGTTATGGATGCGCACTGCTGATGAGCATCGTACTAAGACGAAACACTTGTAAAGTGCTTAGTTCCTCTAAATGGTTGTCTAAGTAAGATCAGCTCGTAATGTAAACTATAGGATACATGAGGTCATTTAATAGTTTAAAGTAGTAAACGTTTTAGTAAAATGAAACATGTTTTTCAACTTAACACATTAAAATATTCTTATGTGCAGATTACTGAGTAATGATTTTGGCTATGTGAAAAGTTCATCTATAAGTATTATTGCTTTATATATTGACTATATAATTTAAAGAAAGTCCGTGGAGATTCCAAAATACTAATGATTCCTCAGAGATTCATAATTAACACCAAGAAGTTTATGCCGACATGTAGAATAATTTATATGCAGATAAGTCTCAACTTTTATCAAGTTACTCCAAAAGTAACAAAAAGTTGGTTAGCACACTCAATTTATAGTTTAAAGAAAGTATTGCCGCGAAAAAATCATTCACAAGTAAAATTTTCGTCAATTTTAGTCTAAGACTGGAGGCCCTGGATCCGAATCCCGCGAGCGGGGTCGCGGATCAGTCAGTCAGTAACAACGTAGAACTTCGCACGTGTGTACATCAGTTCGAGTTGCCATACCACATTAGCACAGAGATGCAGTGGCCAATTGAAATCCCGTAGTGGTAGAGGTAGAAAGAGTACAAGCAGTAATCGGGAAGATTAGTGTTTGAAGATGTTATTTAAAGAGTATAATACAGTGAAATAAATTTGGGAAGAGAAAAAAAGAGACAAGGAGGAATAAGGAGATCAAAATTTGGGAGAACACAAAGAGTGTATGCACCTGCACAATTGCAAACGATTTTGAGCCATGTCATTCAAGGTCTCTAACCATCAGTTGTTATCATCTCGCGGATCCCAACTAGGTTACACCTACCAATATGACTCAGTCCACTTGTCAATGACTTCATGGATTTGTGCCATGTTTTGGTCTGGCCGCCCCTAGCTTTCTTCCAATCTACTCCTACACCATCGAACATCGCACGTCGGGGCAGTCGATGGTTGGGCGTAATTAACTCGTGTCCCAGCCATCTCAACTGATGAAGTTTCATTATTTCATCAATTAATTTGCCATCCTTACCTAGTACCCGTTTCCTAACAGCTGAGTTACATACTCGGTGGTCCCAGGATATACGAGCAATGTTCCGAAGACACCTATGATCAAATACTAGTAACCTACGAAAATCCTCTACTCTTACCGGCCATGTTTCACTGCCATAAAGTAGGACGGAACGAACTACTGCACAGTAAACACGTCCTTTGGTTGATAGACGGATATCTCGCCTAGTCAGTCAGTCAGTCAGCTACAACGTAGGACCAGGCACATATATGCATCGGTCCAAGTTGCCATACCTCATTAACACAACAAGATGGACACCGGATTCATAAAAGTAGTTAATTCAGAGGTGGTAATATATAAAAGAAAGATTGCAATAAGGATATAGTACAGGAAGAAAGAATTAGTGATTTTAATCTCTTAGTTTAAGGGAAGACAGAGAGTGTATACACCTACGCCATTGTGATCGATTCTGAGCCATGTCACCAAGAGTCTCTAACCATTGGTTACGATAGTCACGCGGACCCCAACCAAGTAGTCTGCATCTACCAACATGGCTCAAGCTAGAAGTTAGTGACTTCAAGCACTGATGCCACGTTTTAGTTTGGCCGTCCCTAACTTTCTTCCAACCATCTCCAATACCGGTTAGCATTGCACGTCGTGTTAATCGGTGTTCGGGCATACGTAACACGTGACCCAACCATCTCAGTCGATGAAGATTCACAACCTCATCAACTGGTTTACCATCATTTCCTAATACCCTGCGTCTAACCTCACTATTACTTACCCGGTGATCCCAGCAGACGCCAGCAATATTTCTAAGGCATCTGTGGTCAAATACTAATAGCTTACGAGTGTCTTCTACTCCTAATGGCCATGTTTCGCTGCCGTAAAGTAGAACAGAACGGACTGCCGCGCAGTATACTCGTCCTTTTATTGATAGACGGATATCTCGCCTTCGCCACAGGTGACGTAAGTTGGCAAAAGCCAAGCGAGCTTTTCGAATCCGTGCTGAGATTTCGTCAGACACCAACCCATTAGAGCTGATCAGACTTCCAAGGTCAGTTAAGTTGTCAACGCGTTCGACTACTTCACTCCCTATCCTTAGTTCAGGTGTTGACGCAGACCAGTCCTGAAGCAACAACTTGCATTTAGAGGGAGAGAATCGCATTCCAAACATTCTGGCATTGTTGCTTAGTGTTACCAAAAGACTCTGCATTTTGTCAGCGTCTTCACCAAACAGGACTATATCATCTCCGTATTCTAAGTGGATAAGTGGACCTCCTAGAAGGAGATCAATACCCGAGAACTCAGTCGACGAGAAAGTTATTTCCACCAGTAGATCTATGATGAAGTTAAACAAAAATGGAGATAATGGACAGCCTTGACGGACACCACTTGAGGTTGCAAAAGCAGATGGCAGTTCGCCATAAGCTCTGACTCGACTAGTAGTGTTCGAGTAAAGAGCCTTCACAAGGTTTATGTACTTCTGGGGTACGCCTTTCAATGACAGACACTGCCACAGAATCTCGCGGTCTACGGAGTCAAATGCTGCATTTAAGTCAAGAAAGACCACCATTGTCGGACGCCGATAAGTATGCCTATGTTCTAGAACCTGACGAATGGTGAATATGTGGTCGATGCAATATCTCGCCTACTCCATAAATGACGCAAGTTGCCAAAAGCTAGTCGAGCCTTCTGTATCCATGCTGAGATTTCGTCACACACCAGACCACAAGGGCTGATGAGACTGCCAGGATAAGTGAAGCGGTCGACATACCCAACTACTTCACTCCCTATCATTAGTTCGGGTGTTGATGCAACCCAATCCTGAAGTAAAATTTTGCATTCGAGCGGGAGAATCGCATCTCGAACATGCTTGTATTGTTGCTTAGAGTGGTCAGAAGACTCTGCATTTTGTCAGCGTCTTCACCAAACAGGACTATTTTATCGGCATATTCCAGGTCAACAAGTGAATCTCCCGGTAGAAGTTCAACCCTTGTAAATTTAAATGAGGAAAGTGTTATCTCTAAAAGCTCGTCAACGACAAAGTTTAACAAGAATGGAGGGAGTAGGCAGCCCTGACGAACACCACTTGAGGTAATCAATTCTGATGACAGTTCGCCATAAGCTCTCACTCTACCAGTTGTGTTCGAGTAGAGAGCCTTTATAAGGTTAATGTGCTTCTTTGGTACTCCTTTCAGTGACAAACACTGCCACAGAACCTCACGATCAACGGAATCGAATGCTGCCTTAAGGTCGAGAAATACTACGATTGTGAGGCATCTGAATGTGTGTCTGTGTTCTAGGACCTGACGTAGTGTGAGTACCTGATCTATACAACCACGTCTAGGTCGAAAGGGATCGCGGATGCGCACTGCTGAGGAGTCCCACAATAGGACGAAACGGCTGTCGAGTGCTTCCAGGTTTTTAATGGTGGTCTAACATCAATCGGTTGATGATCTCAATCAAAAACATAATAATCTCCACAACTGTATACTGAATGATTTAAGTCAATAAATATGCATGTAACATTATTATGGTTACAAGTTAAGTCCTTCAATCATTAGTCAACTTCATCATGTCTAAATCACTACTCCATTTATTGATGCTATACTTACAGAATTCCTGGAATTGAAGTAATATAGTGACTGCGTTGAAGTACAACATTACTATAACATCATTTACGTAACATTTTCTAATTTGCCTCTATATAGCTGGTTAAAGGATAAACATAATGATAAAAAACTTTGGGTTCACTGTGATCCATGTGAAGTACAATTGGACAAACCTTTACTGTATGAATCTGGATGGAATAAAAAATTAATTATATTATGGCTTACACAGTGCCACCTCGATCATTATATCAGAAATCGGATAACACTACCAAATTAGTAACTGTGGATATACAAGATGTGACATGGCGTTATACACAGAAGTTTTCAGAAGTAAATTGCTTTATTGTCATCTATATCTTTTTTCCCTTATCAACTAAACTTATATCTTTTCAACCATCTCAATAGATATGTCAGTAGATATTTTGTATTTCAATTTACATTTAAAATGAACCAGAGGTTAGATGATCTGTACTAGCCCTGCCAATGTAACTCTTCTAGGTGATCCAACTCCCTTTTGAACACATTGATAAATGAAGCTTCAACTACGTGTTGATGTAAAGAGTTCCACTGGTTCATGATTAATTCGATTGGAAAGTCGATTAGCATGTGAGAAGTAATTGTTTTCGGCTGTGTGAAGGTATTTAAAATGTACTTGTAAATTCCATGTTCCAGAAGACGAGAAGAACGAGAGCATATCAGCTGTAGTCCAAATATTAAGGGGTCATCGCGTGAACTAAAGGTTCTAAACTCGATCCTCTCTGGAATTGTGAACACACACTGCTAATGATTCTTATACTAGAATGAAACAATTGTTGATGCTCTCTATTTTCCAATGGTTGTCTAATCAAAGTTAGTTTCTAAGCTTTATAAACAGAGATGATTGGTGGCTAGCAGTGGAATCCAGGACACGCGTTTCGTCCTGCTTAGGACTCATCAGCTGGATGTGTGTGATCAATTGCAGTTCTAACATCAACGGAAAGATTCAAACAACCAAAACAAAAATCAGTTAGTTAGTTCCTGTTGCAAACTATTAAATAATAAAGGAATTAAGAAAATAGTAACTCGGTGAACGGTTTTAGCCGTTGAATTTGTAACTGCATTAGAAAGAACCCAGGTTAAACTATTTTATATTACTAAACCAATCATAACTGAGAGAGCCAGGAAGGACATTTGTAAAACGTTTCAAAACTTGGAAAGCAACAACCTTTTTCTAGATGAATCAGGTTATATTATACAGTTCTTCGGCGTTTATTTGTTGCACAACAAGCACAATTTATCAAGCGACATGATGATTATGAACGAAACAGATTTATGTTGATCGATTTTATTAACAAAGTATGCAAATTAGTTAAGAATTTTCTCAGTATAGAGTTGTGAAGATTATTAAGTTTTTGATTGAGATCGTGAACCGTTTGATGTTAAACCACCATTGAAAACCTGGAGACACTGGACGGCCATTTCGTCCTATTGTGGGACTCCTCAGTAGTGCGCATCCACAATCCCGCTCGCGGGATTCGAATTCAGAGCCTTCAGTCTCGCGCGCAGACGCTTAACCTCTAAACGACTGAGGCGGCATCCAAGGGTGTTAATGTTTAACCTTAACCAATCCACGAAATTGTGCTACCATCCTCCTTTGTATTGAGGTAGATACTTGTCTCTACCCGACACAGATTAGCTCCACTGGTCACGGCTTCTCACTGGAACTCTGAGAATTCCCTGACGAAGCTAGTCACTAGTGAGCACATGGTAATTATCAATCGGTTAAGAAGCATGTATATCAGCATTGGACTTAAACACTGCATAACGAATCATAAATATGGTAGTGGATGGTGACTGGCTTTTAATTTCTTGGCTATGAAGTCTATCTTTCCGTTGTTTAATCTTATGAGGTGTTAAGAAATAAAACCGTAATAATTCATTGTTCAGTCTAGATCTTTGGTTGATGTTAATTCATGATCTAGTCTATATATACACATTTTGCCAACATACACGTTCGGTATGAAACTGGACTGTATAGTCCCCATACGTCATACATTTTTGTACATTTCCTGGACAGGTTCAATCCCGTCGAAATATGATTAGAGAATCCGTATTGGCGTATAAATTAGCGGACATTCATACTAATGCTATCCGAAACTGGTCGCTTAACAATAATCCAGCCGATATTGACCAAAAACCATACTGTTGGGATTCAGTTATTGATGAATTGGTGAGTTTCCTTCATCCTTCAAAGTGTAATGATCAACTTCCGGGTCGTCAAACTGGATCGTTGGAATGGCGTCAAGCTCGTGGTGAACTGGGTCAGACTTCTCTGTATGTTGAACCACTTCTTAAAGGGTAGGTCCTATTCCCTATTTTACACTATTGTCTCAATATTGCTATGATATGACGGTAAAAAATTTAAACAGTAACTTCAGATTATACCCTTCCGAAAGTTCAACTTTGCTTAATATTTATCTCAATATAGAAACATTATTACTGTGGTTCCAGTATATCTTTGAAAATTAGGTATGCGGATATCTTTCAAGGTCATGTATGTAAAAGGTTACTATTGAATAATTACAACAGTTCATTTGACAGAATGAACACTTTTTCCATTTCTTCATAGTGTTTATGGAATGACTTGAATATGCTTTAATCATCATTCATTTGTATTAGTTGCTTGAATCTTCCGATTGATGTTAAGGACTGAAATCGATCAGTTTCTTTTTAGCGTATGGGCATCCTGTGGGGATCACTTTGATACTGCCAATAAGTCGCAAGCATTATCACCAGAGTTGGATAATGGCTAGTAGTTTAATACAGGACGAGCGTTTCGTCCCATTTGGGTTTCGTCTGCTGGACGTGCCTGGATCTGAGAGTTGATGTTCACTCCGGCACTCGCAGATCCAAACAACCAATATATATCAATTAAACACCACCGATTACTCAAGCCAATGGCTATCTGGGCTCAGTAGCTGAGTCGATAATGTGGTGGCGTTTGAAGCATACGGTACTGGGTTTGATTCCTGAAGTGAAAATCAACTCCAGGATGCAGGTACGTCTGACTGAAGAGTTCCAAACAGAATGAAACGCGTGACCTGGATTCCACTGCTAGTCATCATCCATATCTGCCTACTCATCACTGTTATTTATTGTCTTAAATCTAGTTAAACTTTTAAAACCGTTGCATAGATCTTTTGTTAACAAGCGTAGGCTAACCAGAGATCTCTAGCTAATTTTGTTTTAGGCTATCTTCTCCCATGTGTTATTCATTATTTCGATGCCAATGATTCTCAGCGCAGTGTATTTCTTGGTCTACCTCTTTTTTGTTTGCCTTGAGGATATATTTCGTGTTACAAACGGTGTTTTAGTAGCAAAGTAGCTAACCTTCGTCTAACCTCAGCCTTATGAAAAACACGGCTCAAACGCCCGAGTATATGTTTCCATATTTTATTAGGAAGTTGCAATCCTGACGAAATTACATTATAACATATTTACTCAAGGAAATAACATAGAATTTTATCTTACCCCTATTTCCAAGTTCTACTTTTTAATATACTAAGTGACTAGAAAGGATGTTGGAATTCGATTAGTAGTCATGTGTTGTAATTCAACTAACGGATAATGTTCTCCGACTTTAGCTACGTATTGAATGGATGTAGATCACTGCTCTTCAGCTGTACTATATCCACAATAACTTTTGACCTAGTCCTAAAACTAATGAAGGGTCAGAAGAAACGACTTATTATTTATTGTTATTTATTAAAACACATAAACATTGGTACAAGAGAGCACCAACTGGGTATACACCACACAAATCACTCGATTTGTATGAGGGCTGGAATACTGCCCGGGTGCCCAAAACGAAACAGGTGGTTTTCTTAGGGGTCACACCCCGGGCTTTTGACCTGAAGGTCTAATCCACAAAGCAGTGGAGCAACGTAAGGAGATGCAGTCCCATGGTAGTCGGTGACCAACGATTGGTTCATACGCCATTTGTTCCTTCAGGATACTGGAGCCCATGTCCACCATTGGTTTGGAATCAGGGTTCTCCAACTCCCGTAGGTGGACTCCATGTCCACCAACCTGATTTCGTAAACAACAACCGTTGTGCGAGAAGGCAGTGAGTAGGACTTCTGGAGGTCGCTGTGTACGCATGGTCATGTGGGAACATTTCGGGAGGGAGAGCTGGCTCTTCCTACTCTTGGCCGTACCAGGGCATTTAGGAGGAAAGAATAGAGGAAGTTTATTACCTGTCTCATTCAATGATGTTACGGTGGGAATGCTTAGGCATATATATATATGATGTCTTTGAGAACCAATTATTCAACATCGAAGTTCCATGCCGTTTGACCTGTGGGTACATATGCGATTTCAGCATTCGAAATAGTGATTATTAAATATTTTTTGTTGCTGATTGTGATTTAATTTTTTTTGGGAAAATATTGCATTTCCCGACATAATGGACCAAACCGAGTTGGTAACCTGGATGAGGTTGATTCCAACTGTACTTATTAATTCATTTCTACCTTCAAAGGTTGTTTATATATTTCTCACAGTACATGAGTGCGCTAAACTATCAAGTTTTTTCACCCATTAAGAGAATATGAGAAGATATATTTTCATACTTAAATTATTGTAACTGATTTAGGTATACTATAGATTATGGCTTCACTGTTGCATTTAAGATTTGTCGATTAAAGATCTAGGGTTTAATCTCGTGAATTGCTTATTTAAATCCTGTCCCACATCGTTTAATTCGATTGAAACTATTTGATTATCCTGTAAACAAAGTATGGCTCAAAATCTTGTACATAAACCTGTACTCTACAATCAATTTATAATAAGCAGAAGAAATGATACCTGTGATGAACGGATTCCTTGTATATTGTGTTGAGGTTTAAATCCCTCACAAAACCACATTCTTATATGGTGCTTTGTTAGTGTTCTTTTTGTACATCTGCGTTTCTGCTTCCATTTGCCGGAATTCCCCACATTAGGTGTCTATTATTTTTATCACGACTGAAGATCTTATATTCTTACTAATCTGTTACTCTTCTCATGTGCTGCTCTTTGTTATTTTGTCATGGAGAATGTGGATTTATTTGTAACAGATTGGTTTCTTTCGTTTGTCATAATTATGTAGCTATTTAAAACTGTGATGCATTCGACAGTTATTACATCTTAATATAGGACTATTGGTCAGTGGTCATTCATAACTCCACTATGGATCTAAACTATAACATTTATGTCTCACTCAACTATCACTTGGACTTTAAACCACATATCTAAATTCAATCAATTCGCAATAATAATCAATCGCCTTTGCCATTAATGACGCGCTGCCTTACACTTGACATGCTTGGACTCCATTGATCACATCTTCTAACTAGAATTCCAGGAATTACCACACGAAATCCATTCTCTCTTAATAAGTCTTTGTATCAAAATTTGGTTTTTAGGATTGATTGTGTCTAGGTTTGTTGTATTCGTTGTATTCATATCAAAGTGAGTATTTGTTTCACAAATTTTAAAGATCATCACAGTTTCGTTAAAATTACTACCACTACTACTATCGTTACTATCATTATTCATATGTTGTACACTTGTTAATGCTCTTTTCTCCCAGTATGTCTTTTTATTTCGCTTAATTATAATGTGTATGTGTCTCAATCAACATTTTTGTATTTAAAAAAAATAGATCAAAGTGTATTATTACCCCGTCTAATTCGGAACTTCAAAGTGGAATATTTCACTTACGTTATAATTCAGCTTTAAATATTTACCAGCGTCCTTATTATTCTAATGATAGTAATAGTAATGATAATAATGATAATAATAATAATGCAAAAACGGATACTGATGTTGTATTAAAGTTTCAATGTTCTACAAATTCACCAAAAGCGAATAATCAAGAGTCAACCAAATTGATTGAAAATGCTCGGAAAGCCGGTTTATATGGATGGCAGTCTATGGTCTATCAATGGAGAAATATTTTTCGGAAGGTTGGTTAATTCCTATGTATCTGCTTAGTTTCTTCATTCAATATAACTTTCTGGCAGGGAAGTGGATGTTAAAATGATGTTAGTATTCTATTTAGATATTGGTTGATCGACTGTTGCTTGTTTACAAAGCTAAATAATCAGAATGGGGATTTGTGGAGATTGCAGTAATTTTAGTAGTTGAATTAATGAGTCGATCTAAGCTAGACCACCATTGGGAACCTGGAAGCACTAGAGGGTCGTTTCGTTCTAATATGGGACTCCTCAGCAGTACTCATCCATGATCCCGCTTCCAGGTTTTCAATGATGGTCTAGCTTAGATCGACTCATCAATTCAACTATTAAAATTAATACAATCTTTACAGACTCCCATTATGATCATAATCATGTGCTCACTATTGACTGGATTCAAGATAGATTTCCTGGAGTTTGGTGAGAAGCCGTGACTAGTGGAGTCCAATCCGTGTCGCTTGGCGACAGTTATCCACTTCAGGCAATGAATGAAGGGTTTCTCAAGATCATGGATCGGTTGAAGTTTGGTCCTAGAGATGGTGCAACACAGTGGCTTGAGACGTTATAATATATGGTTCAGAATAGAAGCCAGTAGCGATCCTGCCGTAACTTTCTTCTACTTTCTTCATAAAATTGGGAGAATTCTTTCTGATTATGCTTTAGCTAACCGAACTGCCTCCCCCATTATTATTATATCACTCGCATACACTAATTTATGTTCTTTGTTGTTTTCCTTTTTCTTATACGCGCTTTACATTCTCTGTCTCCTCACAACTTCACTGTTATTGTGTGGCGCATATGTATTTAGTGCCCTTTCGTACCAATATTTATGTGTTCAAATAAATAAATAGATAAATAGAACATGCTTGTGAAGTAATTGGAAGACTCACTTCTACATAATGATGGGATTGTCCTAAACAGCAATGAAATTATCTAGTTCAGAGAGCACAAGACTACCAAAATGGTTCCAGTGTTTATGAAGAATGTTGAAGTAATGACTAACTGTTTGCATAGATTTATTTATTTGTTCTTTTGTATATTTACAGGTGGAACTTGATTGGCACATGGTTTATTTAGCTCGTGAAGAGGATAGTAAACCTTCAGAAGATGGAATAATTATCTGGATGCTTGATTTAAGAAATACTAATTATCGTGTCGGAAAAGTAAGCAATAATAAATAATAACTATGTGTAGGTTTTAAACTTTTGATAAATGCTTTCGTAAGTGCATATGTGTTTATGAGCGCCTATCTGTTCATCACTTTTATGGTCTAGTTATCTCTTTTCAGAACAACGAACGATTTTCAATGAAAACTATGGGTTAAAAAATTTTTTCAATATTTTCTACATTTATTTTGAATGTAGTCTCCAATACTAAGGTATAAAATTAAAGCTGTTTGTCCATGTTTATGGGTAAATAAATAGAGATAGGTTAGTACCTAACTAGGGGGCTAATTTGGTGATCAGCTCGAGACAAGACGGGGGTGGTTGTGAGTCCTATCTTTAATGAAATTATCTATACATACTGCTGAAGAAATTTCTACTAGAATAACTGTTTGTTCAATGCTCCCTGCTTTTTATCAGTATCTTAACTTTCAGTCAGTGGTGAAAAGCATCTAAACTTTATTATTGACTACACGTTTTAATGTGTCGTGTAAAATTTAAGATGCTCTGTTTGGTGAGCTCGGTATGATGGACGCATTATTATTTTTGGTATGTTCAATAATACTTAGGTTTAACGATGGTATTCTTTAGTTTAAGATCACGTTTTGAATTATGTATATAGTGTACTGTTGAGTGTAGAGCGCTGAATCAGTGGTTATGGTGTTCGACTTTTACCCAATAAGTCGCAGGTTCAAATCCTTCTCCACCTACTGTGGTTTGAGCTCTCAGATGACAACATTTAGCTCTCACTCATATTCACAGTATGTCTCGAAGGTAATTACATGATTCTGTTTCAGCTAAACAAATCTAGTACTGTTGAGTTTAATTTTAAAATATTTTCTTGTCAACAAATTGTCATTCTGTCAGACTGTTTTTCACATGAGTTAGACTTGTTAAAATTAATGTTTATTATTATTATTTAATGGATAATTAATTCCTCTTAAAATTGCAGTGAGCTTCGTTGAATTGTTTAGAATCACGCTTATTCTGTTTGATTATTATTCACTGTATAATTGGAGTACAGAACTACTGAGAAACGCCCAAATTCCACAAACATTTAACCAGAATAATCCAAAAATTGAATTATTAAAACCATCAATTTATTATCGTTAGGTCTTGATCCGGTTACCTGAAACATGCATTATTAGTTGCTGGTTTTCAGGAACAACTCGATATTTCTATAAAATACTCACATCGTCTCGTGCTCTTCAGCAGTTGTAATAAAGTTATGTGGGTTTCCCTCGTCTACTCAGTTGTTGGAGGACTGAATTAGACAAAGGCTGTTGTAGGACTGGCTTAGGGCTATACTGTTTTTAGTGTAATGACTAGTATTAATACTAATACTACTATTTGTAACTTAATGGCAATATATTCCTGTATTTTAAACTGTTCCTCTTTTTCATCAGGTTTCTATATTTACAAATATGGTGTGTCATTCAACTGATTGTCATGCTCGTTTTGTACTTTGTTCCGGTGAATATCCAGTAAATAGTATTAATAGTGGCCAAGAGGAAAATAATCCACAATCTGTGCCTAACTCATGTTTGTGTCTTCAACCAGGTTCTGCTTCATTATTCAATTCAGAATCTATGATTGGATCTGATTTTCTGACTTTGAAAGCTCGTCTATGGAATGATGATGAATCTATTGGAAAGTCATCTTCTGTGGCTTGGCAGCAAGCCCAACTATTTCGGCAAAAGGTATATTTATTAAGTGTATCAATATTCTTATTTCTTAGATGAATGTTTGTAAATATAAGTAGGTTTTTATCTTTTCTTGTATTCACTTCTGATTTTGATTATGCTTCTTATATCACATCACAAATTGACCATTTAAATCAGGAAGCACTGGATAAGTGTTTCATTTTGATATGAGCAGTAAACAGCCACGACACAACCGGGGATGAAACTCAGTTTAGGTTCTCGTCACGAGATCTGAAGGCCCTGGTTCTGATTCCTTCTGTTTTTGTGAATGCCCATTTCTGAGGAGTCTCTTGCTAGGACGAGATAGTTGTCTACTACTTCCTGGTTCCCATTGGCTGCCTAAGATCAGTTGTAGCTATAGACGTTAGTCTATATTTGAAATAGGAGAAATCGCTTTATTGAAAGAGAATAGTTCTCATGATAATAAATTATATTTTTTGACTGGGGGAAAGCGAAGAAGATCACGAGTTCTCTTTGCCGTCATTTTACAAAGTAGTGGATGTAACTGGGTTGCGCATGTGCGTTTTCTCATAAGTGATCACAGTGCTGTCTAAATTTCTCTCCTTTGAGTTACTTTAGAGTTTAAGTTTAGTTTACGTGTCAGGTTCACAGAAATGTATGTCGGAAGTTGCTGCGAAATCGCTTTTCATTTATAATATAGTGGATGTTTTAAATTTCAACTAGTGCTTGAAACTAATCTACTTCCCTCCACTGATTGCCTTATCTTTCGGACGTGATCTCGTTTTGACCTTATATCCTTGGATGTATTAGCTACCTCAAGACAAAACACAACAACATGTCGTTGGACTGAGTAAATAAATTTCGATTTCTAGTTCAAATCTGAATGTACCCAACTCAAAAATGCTTATCACCATAAAGTCGAAGAATATTAACTTTGAGATTTCGATGTATCAATATGCTATACAATGGTTAACCAGGAAACGGTGGTTTCAAACGAAAACGAAATGATCTACTATATCTTTTATCTTAGATTCAGAATTCTCAAGCGTTACGCTTAATTATTGTAAATTTGTACATTGTGGATCATTAGTTTGTTGGTTAAGGGATTCGACCTTGAACCGCTGTTTCGCGAACTTGAATTCCCCTTTGGTTTGAGCAACTGATTACCGAGTATTATTACTCCTTACATATCATATGTTGGCTCAAAGCAGAATATTTGATCAACAAATTACTTCATTGATTTCATCATCTAAATTTGTATAGTAAGTATTGAAGGATTGGTCCACCAGGGTGCTTGGTACCTGTGTGGTTGCGCCACAGGTTTGAGCTATACTATTCAGATTGTAGCGTTAAAGCCTATACGTTGTCTGGTTCTCATATGAAGCGGAATTGAGCTGTACTGCTCGGGTTATAAAATTTAAACCTGGGCGGTGTCTGACTCTCCTGTTAAACAGGATTGAGCTGTACTGTTTGGGTTGTCACGTGAAAGTCTGGATGGTGTCTGGTGGCTCTCCTGAAAACCAATGCAAAATTACTCTAACCCACAAGGGTATATTATATAACTAAGTGTTGAAGGATTAGACGTAAATTGTTTTTTTTTAGAAATTCATTTTTCATTTTGTAACTAACCATATAACTCATATAAATCTGTTCTTTTATCTTCTTTTTTTTCCCAACATTGAAATTCGACTCTCTCATCTTTAGGATAATGATTTTGATACTTGGTCATTGGAATGGAAAGTTGAATTGGTAAAAATTAATAAAACAGTTAATTAAATAGAATTGAAAACGGGAATTGTATTGTCGTTTCATACACACATGCACACACAGTGACCTGGTTAGCTATGCTGTTTTATTAATGAATAAATGTATCATGAATGAACGTACGATCCAACTGGACAGTAATGTGCATATATATATATATATATATATATATATATATATATATATATATATATATATATATATATATATATATGCACATTACTGTCCAGTTGGATCGTACGTTCATTCATTGATTCATTTTCTTCCTTTATTTCTTCTTCTTTCTTGTTTGTTTTTCTCTCTCCACCTCCTTTAATCATTCACTGTTTTTTTATACCGAATTTTATTTCAATTTTAATAGTATCATCTTTTTTTTGTTTATTACTTAAACTGGGCCTATTTTCAAGAATTTGTACTTTCTTATTGGTTACTATTTTATAAGAACAAATTCCTTCTTCTCGTCTTCTTTTTTTGTTTATTTGTTTGTTTTCTTGTTCTTTTGTTGAATTGACTTAGTGACAAGATCAAAAAGACTTGTTCAACTATTGTATGAAATCATGATTATCGTTTATTATGATTAGAATTCTTTTTTTTTGTTGAAAAATGTAAGACTGTGATATGTATTGAAATTAACATGAAGAAATGAAAAAAGAAAACAACAGTAGGTATTATGTTTCTTCTTCACAGTTTTTGGGGTTGAATTAAATATCAGAATGGGTTTTATGGAAATTTTTTAGAAATTTCACTGGTTGAAATTATGAGTCAATTGAAGCGAGACCACCATCGGAAACGTGGAAGTATTGGATGGCCGTTTCATCCTATTGTGGGACTCCGCAGCAGTGCGTATCCATGATCCCACACTCCACGAGATTCCAACCCAGGACCTATTAGTTTCGCGCCAGGCACTTAACCAACTAGACCGCTGATCCGGCATCCAACATTGTTAATGTTTAACTTCAACTAGTCCACGAAGTTGCGCCACCGTACGCCATTGTTTTCCGTGAGTTGATTTCTCACAACAGACCTGGTTGAACTCCACTGGTCATTGCTTCTCACTAGAATTCCAGGATATTCATCTGGAAGCCAGTCACTAGCTTTAATTGACTCATGATCTCAACTATTAAAATTATTACAATCTCCACAAAACCCCCTTTTGATATTACTATCTTATTTCTACTTTTACTTAATTGTCTTCATGTTGTAAACAATGTTCCCCAAATGCCCTGGTATGGCCGAGAGCGGGGTGAGTTCGCCCTCCCTCTAGAAATACTCTCACATGGCCACGTGTATACAGCCTCTGCCAGGGAAGTCTTACTCACTGCCTTCTCGTGGCGGGGTTGTTGTTTACGAAAAGTGAATGTCCGACGCTCTAACCGGATCCCAAACCAAATCAATGGTGCACATGGGCTCCAGTATCCTGCGGGAACAAATGACGTATGAACCAATTTTCGGTCACTGGCTACCATGTGACTGCATCTCCTTACGATGCTCCACTGTCTTGTGGGTTAGACCTTTAGGTCAAAGGCTCGGGGTGTGGCCCCCTAAGATATCCAACTGCTTCGGTTTGGGCACTCGGTCAGTATCGCAGCCCACACACAAATGATGAACTGTTTTTGTGGCGCATATATATTTGGCGCACTCTTGTACCAATATTTTTGTGTTCAAATGAATAAATAAATAAACAATGCAAATCAATTAGATAAATTCCTTACTATCTAGATGTAATTTTAATTGAATTCAATAATCATATATTGATTGTATGAGAAAATATTGTTTTATTCGATGAATTTTTTCCGAAGGTTTTCTCATGAAACTTGAGAAATGACCTCAATTATGAAAATTGGCACATGTAGAATAATATAGTTTCTCAATTAATTTTTTTTAAGTCACAAAAGAGAACATATTAAGTTTATCTTGTTTACTAAGCGTAGATCTATGTTGTTAGTTTGCAGTAACAGTGTTTTCAAGTGATAGTAATACTACACATTTGATGTATGCATAGCTAAGACCAAGTCGTTGAAAGTTAGTTGTTTTAATTATTCAACCTCTGCTCTCTTCATAGAGAGTTATCTTGTTAGTCTGTACTTGAACAGTATATTCGCATTAGTAGTTAAGGCATGTATCATTTTTTTCATCAGAGGATGTTGACGGATAAAAGTAGGTAAGGAGCAATTCAGGAGAGCTCAAACCAAAACAGAGTGAGTTCATCAAGTCATTAACAATTGTTCTGGAACATTTTGATAAGTTCATACTACCTTGTTGGGATTCGCGCGACTATTGTGTTCTGTGATATTGTTGTAAACCGGAACTCAGGTGACAACAATGTATTTGAATACAAAGTTATAGAGTTCTTCCATAAAATGTGTAAACTATATGTTCAACACTTTATTTGTAAGTTTTTCATCACTTGTCAAAAACTCAATTGTTCTTTCATTGCCATAACAATTATTCTCTATTCCCATCCTCATTCCATTTGGTGTTTTATACTACTTATATTCATATAAGTAGCATACACAATCTTACCAACAATCGGTCATAATAGCTCAAGTGCGTACATCCTTTATCTTTTTCTACATCTTGAGCTCTACTATTCCTTCGTACATACCTCTCCATCCTATCATTTCAAGCCATATTCCAAGTGTTCAGTTCTTATTATTATCATAGCTGTTACATTATTTCTATTCCTTTTCTATTCAATCTGTTAATTTCATCTCATCAAGTAATATAGTTATTGATAAGTAATTAGATTACAAATCGCATATCATAAAAGTATGTTTATTAAAGCTTTTCAGAAGTTTTTTTGACAAATTCTATCGAAAATCAAGATCCATCTTATTTATTTTACATGTTCATGTTTGTCAGAGGTGTTTGTTACAATATAATAGATTTGTTTAAAAGAAATATTTGTTGTTTTGGGTGGCTAATTCGAATATTGAATGAGATATTAACATATATATATGTATTGAGATATGAAATGAATGAATACTTGATCTCTATTGTTTAGAAGAACTAATATTACTCTGTTCAATAAATATTTCGGGAATCTATTCATCTCTACTAGTTATAGAAATATTATAGTTAAATAAATAGTTTAATATTTTGTAATTGAAATCATGAACCGATTGATGTTAGACTACTGTTGGAAACCTGGAAGCACTGGGTGACCATTTCGTTCCATTGTGGGACTCATCAGCGGTACACATCCACTCGCCCACTCTCCGGATTCAAACCCAGAGCCTTTAGTGTCGCGCGCGAACGCCTAGCCTACTGGACCATTGTTTTCCAACCGTGGTCTAACATCAATCGGTTCATGATCTCAATCAAAAACTTAATGATCTCCACAATCAGTATACTGAAAATAGCTAGAACACCATGGAAAGCCGTGGACAGCCGTTTCGTTCTAATATGAAACTCCTTAGCAGTGTACATTCACGATTTTGTCTCACAAGATTATATTCACACCTCTTGAAAGTAGTTTAAATTTTATTTCTAAAAATAATAATAATAATTGTTGATTGATCATTGAAAAGTTACTTTGTTTAAATAAACTACTATTCTCACTTAATTGAATCATAAATTGATAAACAAATATATATTAATTGTAGAATTTATTTAAACAAACTATTTGTAATTATTCAACCTTAACAATCATTTAATAATTTGACAGAAATTTCATTAAATAAACACTAGAAATGGACATAATTATTGAAGGAACTTCTAGTTATAATCAATATAAAACTTGATTCATTTAAAGTAAAACGTTTATAGGAAGTTAGTTACTTATGAGTCTAATCATATAGATATATAAGTATAACTTTGTGAAGATTGTCAAGTCTCATTAAAATCATGAACTACAAGTAACCAAGTTTCTGGTGGACCCGAGAAAAAAGTCTCACATAACAGATTTTAAAGAGGGGAGGTCTGAGAACAGTCCACGGCTGAACTCAAGGAAGCTTTAAGAAGCTCAGAAAGAGCTGAAGATATTCCATTCAATCATCTTTTGGAAGACTATTCCAGAATCCTTACATTTAGCTTCCGTATTGTACAAATGCTAATAACCTCCTATATGCGGATGAGAGGACTATAATAATGATTTTGCTTTTTACTAAAAACTATAAATAACTGACAGTTTTGTTCTATAATTGACACTGTTCAGAATAACATTCCTTTCACTTGTCTTCTATCTTCTCATTCGCGAATTGGGAGTGCTCAAGTCCACGCGGTATATCATGAATATAAGCTCTATGTATAACATGAACCGATCATTTGTAGAATACCATTGCAAGCCTGAAAGCACTGAATATCTGTTTCGTCCTAGTACAGGACTTCTCAGCGGTGCGCATCCACAACTTCACATTTAGGAATTGAACCCAGGACTTTCTGTTTCGTATGTGAATGGTCTACTAATCTGACATCCAACCGTGTTAATGTTTAAATTCTACCGAATTGATATTAATTACAATATAATATTACAATGTAGCACTAAATTCTTTCTTTCTGTTAAACGAGAAGTCATGATAGAGCCTCTTTAGCATAAACTCGTATCTTATAGGAAGCATCAACTCATTCAAGATTTGTAAACAATACCTTCTGAGAAGCACCATGTAGAATAATATATAGGTCCACACTTCTTCCTGACTGTTTTTTATCATTTAGCAAGGAACTTAATACAGTGTAAAACTTCCCAGTGATTAAATTAAATTCTTTATTTTAAAACAATCGGTTACCAATCAAATAGTATAGTCCCATAAATAATATCAGAAGGGGTTTTGTGGAGAATTTAGAAATTTCACTGATTGAAATCATGAGTCATTTGAAGCTAGACCACCATGGAAAACGTGGAAGCACTGGACGGCCGTTCCATCCTATTACGGGGCTCCCCAATAGTGGGTATCCACGAGACCCGCCTCGCGGGATTTGGACTTAGGACCTATCAGCCTAGTGGTCTAGTAGTTAAGCGCTCGTGCGCGAGACTGATGTGTCCTGCGTTCGAATCCCGTGAGGCGGGTTTC